AGTGAACACCCCAGCCTATAGGAGCCAGACAGTCACCTCCCACTGCCCCGTCTCCTGGGTCACCTCAGAGTAGCGATGACCTCGACGGGCCAGGACTCAGAAGGGCAGGAGATGCAGGGCCATTTCCCCACACCCGAGCCCACTCCCCACCAAGGCAGGGCTACCGATAACACCTACGCCAGTGGTCGGCAAACCGCGGCTCGCGAGCCACATGCGGCTCTTTGGCCCCTTGAGTGTGGCTCTTCCACAAAATACCGACTTCTGCGCATGGGCCACGAAGTTTCAATCGCACTGTACGTGTGCGCCCGCACATGGTATTTTGTGGAAGAGCCACACTCAAGGGGCCAAAGAGCTGCGTGTGGCTTGCGAGCCGCGGTTTGCCGACCACTGACCTACGCCAACCATCGGGATTCCGTTTGCTCCAGAGAGGCCGCGGGGAGTCCATGCTGGTGGCTGGCGCTGCGTGCACTTGCACCGAGGCAGCTGGAGACGTGGGAGGGTGAGTCCGCGGGGCTGGGCCGGGCCCAGAACAACCTGATGGCCCAGGTGGACCCGCACCGAACTCCATGTCCCCTTCCTCTGAACAGAAAGCTGCTCCCTTAGCCCCTCAGCCCATGCGTGTTAACGTGCCCTTGCGCCCACCTTTGACGCTTGGGGGTAGCACTCTTGCAGCCGCACCGGGTGCCGATGGCCTCAGGACAGCGTCACGCTCCACGCTGGCTTTGCTGCTGTCACACGCGGAGTGACACGACCGTGGGCCAGAGCTTGGCCTCTGGAACCAGACAGTCCTGGGTCCACTCCCCTGCTCTGGCACGTCCACGGTAGGAGACCGCCCGTGAGTCATTCCACCGGACGGAGCTGCCGTCTTCCCAAGTGGGGATGGGAGCGCCGCCGCCTCCGCCCTGTAAGGAAGAAAGGACACTTGTGTGAAAACCTTAGCAGAGCTCCCGGCCCCTAGGAAGTGCTGGTGAAGTGTGAGGATTACTGCGTAGGTAGGTTGGCCCCCTTCTGCTCCTTCATTCATTCATTCCACCGAAGGTTTACTGAGCACCTGCCGTGGGCCAGGCTCCGTGCTGAACACTGTGTATTTGGGACAGGGGAGCGAGCAGGTGGGGGAGGGGAGGTGCCTAATAAAAATGATGGTTGAAGGACATGCAATGTTGCCTTCGTTCTCTCATTTAAATCTCACACACACAGGAGGTGGCGGGTGCCGGGAGGTGGGGGGGAGTCTGGAATAACGTCAACATTAACATGTTTCATCATAAAATAATTCCTCAAAAAAATTTAATAAATTACACACACATGAGATTCGGGGACTTTGTCCAATGCAAAGCTGAAAAAAGCTGGACTGGGATGTCTTGGGCAGCCCCCTCCCACACTTTCCCTCGAGTAGCAATTCTGTCATCACTGATGTTTCTATCTCTCTCCCCGTCTCTGAAACCCATAAAAATATACTTTTAAAAAATAATAGGATCCTGAATCCAGTCGATGTGGAAATGGAGTAACACAAAACCACGTGCCCACGACCCCTGTGGGCCCAGGACCCAGCCCATCCCGTGGCGAGTGTGTGCGTGGGTAGGAGACCACACCCCACGCTCAGTGGGAACCGGGGTCTGCTGAGCCCATCGGAAGGAGGCCAGGAAAGGGAGGAGACTGGGGAGCGTGACACTTATTAAAAGCACTTGCTCGAAAGCCGAGCTCAGGCCCACATGGTGCCCAGCCCAGGCCCCGGCCCCGGCCGGGGTCAGTGCCCCGTCCTGACAGGCGTGAGCAGGGCAGTCTGGGCGGAAGATGGATGGGGGCGTGAAACACGCCCGTGACAGCGGTAATCCACACGCCCCGGGAGCGCAGGCTGGTCTTGGGGCCACTTCCCCACACTTTTTATGGGCCCGGAGTGAGGGGGAGGGAATTTTCATCATTTCAGACATAAATAACTCCGCCAACGGTGTCAAGATCAGACACCTCGAAATGAACCCCTCCCGGCAACGCAGAGCCTTGGCCTGGGCGCGATTTATTTCTCGGTGGCGGGGCTGCCTGCAGTCAGCGAGGCGGGCCCCCAGGACATGAGGTGCAGCCCCGGGCCCCGAGCATGGAGCCTCGGAGAAGTCCCTGTCCTGCTCAGAGCGATGCCCACGCCCCGCTCTCCTCTTGCTCAGCGGCTTTGCCCTCCCCAGGGGCTGACAGCCCGCCCCCTTCTCTATGGAGGGGAGAGAAAGGACCAGGTTCGAGCTCTCATTTCCCACCACCCGAGCCCACGAGCGTGCCTGCTGCAAACCTCTCTCTCTCTCTCTCTCTGCTGGATATAGCAGGATAGCAGGAGACCTCCCTCCCCCCAGGGGCCACCCTCCACTTGGGCTCTGAGACCTGTTCCCTCCTAAGGGTTTGCCCTTCGAGCGACACTCACTCCCTCTCCTCAGCAGCCCCTCTGCCCTGATCATTCTCTCCTGCATCGACACGTCCTCAGCACCTCCCACATCCAAACACCAAACCATCTCCCTTGGTCCCTCCTCTCTCCCCAGCGATGGTCTGTCTTTCTAAACAACTCGCACCTGTGGCCTCCAAGCCCTGCCTCGACTTCGTCATCCACATCCAGCTCAATGGCGCCAGCACGCCACCTACACAGCCCTCACGCTGGTCCATGACTCCGTGGTGTCCAACGCAGAGTCTCCTCTCCTCTCCTCTTACTTGACTTCTCGGTCGAGCCCTCAGTCCCCCCTGAGCCCCTTCCTTTGCTCGGCAGCTTCTCCTCTCCTGGCTGCTGCTCCTCGGCCTGCCTTTGACCTTCCTTCTGCCCCCAATGTCTAGAGGCCAGAGGGCCCCTGGGGCCATCTCTCAGCCCTCTTCCTTCTGCTTTGTCCCTTCTCTGTCAGCGGGCTCCTTCATTCCCTGGCTGTCCATGCCTTCCATGTACTACAGACTTTCAAAGAGCAGAGCCCGGGCCCGGAAAGTTCCCCCGAGCTCCGCCTCGCGTAGCTGGACGCCTTCTTGGCATCCCCCTTAGCCATCGAACAGGCGCCTCACCTTGGCGCTGCTACAACGAGGCGGTTTATGGAACAAGAAGCACCGCCTGCCCTTTAGGCTTGCAGAAGGTGTGCACCCTCACTGAGCACTCATAAAACGCACATCGAGACAAGCCGAGTTCTTTTTCAGCAGCCGGTCGGCAGAGAGAGATCAATACACTGGAAAACACGCTGTGGGTCAGGATTCGAGGGAAAAGGTGCCTTTGTCTATTGGTAGGGAATATAAATTGGTGTAATCCCTTTGAGGGTAAACAGTCAATATGCACGAAAATGAAAGCCACACATCCTCCTTGGCCTGCAGTTACTTTGCTCGGCAGCTTCTCCTCTCCTGGCTGCTGCCCCTCGGCCTGCCTTTGACCTTCCTTCTGCCCCCAACGTCTAGAGGCCGGAGGGCCCCTGAGGCCATCTCTCAGCCCTCTTCCTTCTGCTTTGTCCCTGCTCGAAAATGAAAGCCACACATCCTCCTTGGCCTGCAGTTCTACGTCTAAGAATGCATCTTGTAGCTACGTTAAATTAGTAGATTCAATAAGTGTATTTACTTCCAGTAATCGTTACCCAATAGATAGACAGTCACACACCTGCACGTGGATGTCGAAAGCATTCGGGAAACCATCTACTCCCAGCAATTACAGCGGTTCTCAACCTGTGGGTCGCGACCCCTTTGGGGGTCTTTCACAGGGGTCGCCTAAGACCATTGGAAAACACATATATAATTCCATACTGTTTTTGTGATTAATCACTATGCTTTAATTATTTTCAATTTGTAACAATGAAAATACATCCTGCATATCAGATATTCACATGACGATTCATAACAGTAGCAACATTACAGTTATGAAATAGCAACGAAAATAATTTTACGGTTGGGGGTCACCACAACATGAGGAACTGTATTAAAGGGTCGCGGCATTAGGAAGGTTGAGAACCACTGAATTAGAGTCTCGCTGAGTAAGTGAAAGCAAGTTCCAGAGTGGGACAGCGCTTCATTGTGAAAAGAACGGAAGAAGCCTTCACAAGCTGATACAGAAAAATCTCCAAGGTATCGTGTTAAACGAAAAAAGAAAAATTAAGAGTGGCTCCGTTGGTTGGAGCATTTGCTCAGACACCAAAAGGTCTCAGGTTCGATTCCCAGGCAGGGCACAGACCCAGGTTGCAGGTTTGATCCCCAGCCAGGGCATGTGTGGGAGGCAACCGATGGATGTTTCTCTCTTTCTCTCCCTCTCCTTTCCTCTCTCTTTAAAATCAATGAAAGCATGTCCTCAGTTGAGGATTTAAAAAAAATAATAATTAAGGTGCAGAAAAGGTATACTATGCTACTATTGGTATTTGGAAAAGGGTGCTAGAGACAGAGGGACTCACACAAAAACACTTACATAAATACAAAATGTTATCGGAAGAAAACACACACAACTTGTAATGGGGATTGCCTTTGGGGCAAGGGGACCAGGAGACCGGTTTTGAAGGGATGAGGATACGTTCTCTGTATACTGTGTGCGCTGTTGGAATTCTATTTTGCCATGTTCGGCTATTTCAGTTTCATTTTAAAAATAAAGTTATTTTTCATACCCTGGCTTCTTCTCTCCTTTCAGCTCTCAGCTGAAATGCCACCTCTTCCAGGAAGCCCCCCTGGACTACCCTCTCTATGTCCGTCTCTCCTACATTGTTTTCCCTGTTCCCTGCTAGAACAGCTTCACTTTTAACCTTCACTCTAAATATTTGGGGTTCCAAGATCTCTCCTCACCTCGTCAGAGATACTGCCCTGTGCCCCCCAGGTGAAATCATATCCTCACCACTACCACTGTCCCTCTCTAATCCTTCATCCTGCCTCCTTTTTCTTTTTCAATGCATCCATCAGCACCTGACATGTTGCATCTATTTTTTTTATTTGTTTGCCAGTGACTTACCCTCATGAAGAGCAGGAATCTTGCCCATTTCGTCCACCGCTCCACCCCCTGCGGCCGGAACCATGCGTGGCACGCTGCGGGTGTCCAATAAATATTTGTTGAACGGATGGATGGTTTCTCTGCAAAGAGAAAACAAATAAATAAAAAGACACCTAAAGGCTAGAAAATACACTATCCCCAGCCCTGAGTTTAGGGCGGGGTCTGAAATCGGGTTCCAGCCCCTGTCCAGGCTGTGTGGGCATCGGCTTGCTGAGCGAAGGGCCTGGGGACGCCTCAGAGCACCAAGTGACGGAAAGAAAATCGGGGACAAGAGGGAGCAAGCTCTACAGGAGACGCCAGGAGTGTGGCCCTGGGGGAGACAGCCACAGCGAGCAGACAGGAGTCTTCAGCAAACCCCCAGGAGGGAGCGCCTGCCCTAGAAGGTCAGGGCTGGAGAGAGCAGGGAAACGGGAAGAATGAGAGGGAGGCCTTGGCCTGGCCCTCACCTGGGGGAGCTGAGCCCCAGCTTCCGATGGATGAGACACACAAGGTGTGGGAGGCACGGCCAAGGGCAGGAGCGCGGGTGCTCACACAGCCTAAAGCCCCGGGGGCCTGGCTCAGGGCGGGCGAGCCATGACTCAGCAAGTCCTGGGAGCCAGTGAGTTCAGTGCAGGGGCTGGGGCAGCAGGCAGACAGTGGGGCCACCAGGGACCCCCGCACCCACTGCCCCCTCAGGAGGAGAAGTTCTGGGTGGCACGAGGGCCATGCTCCCCGCGGACTTCAGACAACAGTGTTCTGGGCCCTGGTGCGTTGGCGGCGGCCGGGATCCTGCCGGGGCCTCCCAGCACCTCCATTGTACTCTCAGGCTCAGCGTGCCCTCGGGCCGCCTGCTGAAAAGTTTACACTAAGAAACCCTCCCTAATTGGTTCCTTTGAAGGGTGCCCTCTGCACACCATCAAGGCAGCCCTGTTCATTAGCAGCCGCTCACATCAAACCCGGGCGGGAAACGTCCATCACCCAGGGATTCACACGTGGACACAGGCCTCCCCGGGCCCAGCGCTGCCCACGAGGCTCCGTCCTGGGAGAGAGGAGTGTGGCCCAGCCACTTCTCGCCCAGGCTTCCTCCACCTCCACGCGCTGCCAGGTGGCAATCCTTTGCCGGGGGCTGCCCTGTGCCTCCTGGGGTTCCCCAGCCACCCAGGCTCTACCCGCTGGATGCCAGCCCCACCTCTCTAGCTGTGACAACCAAACCCATCCTCAGACCATGCCAATGTCCCCCGAGTGCAGTGGACAACCGCTCTTCTCATTTCCTAGCCGTCTGAACAGCTGACCTGGGGAAGAAAAAGCCAACTCGGAAGAGACATTTCCTGAAGGTCTCCTACATGCCAGGCACGGGGGACGGTCACAAATCAGGGGTGCACGTGGCCCCAGCCATGTCTCTTGAATGAAGGGGGACCAGCCCCTTAGTTCCTTGTCAGTTTCAAGGCTCCCCTTAGTTCCTTGTCAGTTTCAAGGCTCAGCTATCCCACAGAGGGACCGGCAGGACTAGGTCCGGGGGTGTCGGAGGAGGAAGCCCCTCCAGAGGAGGAAGCCTCGGAGAGCCTTGTTCTCGGCTCCTCCCGGGAATGGGTGTCTCGGGCCTTGCAGGGAGCAGAGTGGGTGTTCGGCGGTGGATCACGGAAGGTAATTACAGAGATCTCCAAGGGGCTGCGGGAGGCCCCGGCCCAGCAGAGCTTTCGCAACACCGGGCAGCCGAGCAGCCACGGAGGGTGACGGGCTCACTAATCATTGGCACCAAGCACTCCCGGCTCCCAGCCTGTGCCAGGAAAAACAGAAAAGCCGACAAGAACAGCACGGTAGCGTGTATCACACCCTCCAGCGAAAGGCGGCCACCGTTCCCCCACAGTGGTCTCTGAGGCTGACTGGGGGCCTCGACGGGTGTTGCTGAGACTGGCGGATGGGTTGTGGGGTGGGCAGGCAGGTGGGTAGGGAAGCCCCTGCAGAGGGGGTGGAGGAAGGCTGGAGGACTGAGATAGGGGGGCAGGGACGCGCAGGTGTACGTCCTTTCAATGCATTGAGGGCCACCCAAGTGGCAGGGACATGCCCCCGAGAAGTTGGCACCGACAAAGGCCAGGGGCCCCGGAGACTTAAGTAGTGATGTCTCCAGGCCGTGGGTAGCAGGCTCTCTCCTGGCCGCCAAGGACTGCCCGTGTGCAAGGGGGCAGGAGAACTGGGGACAGCCAACACCGTTGCCCAGGTGCTGGGAGTCATTTCAAAGCAGACAGGACTGGGAGGTGGTAGAAACGTAGCAAGCGGAGAACCAAGAAGCACATTTCCCAAAACGCGGCGCAGAGATGGTCTGGGGTGACTTGGGGACACAGTTTCCCCAACACTGACTCCCAGGGGGGAGAGGCGAGTCCTTCCGATGAGGACAAAGAGAACCTGTTGGCTGGGTGCTGGGAGAGCTTTCACAGCTTCAGCGTGGGGTCCTCTCTCTCTCTCCTTTTGCCAAGATAGAGCATATCTCTTGGCTCGAGCAACAAGGATATCTGGCCAGAATTTAAAGATACTGGCTTTTATTTTTCCTTTTAAAGTCAAATTTATCGAGGCAACATATACATACAGTAAAACGCGCCATTTTTTAGTGTATCCTTCTATGAGTTTTGAACAGCGCATACAGTTATATAACCACCAGAGCCATTAAGATATAGAACATTTGCCCGGCCGGCGTGGCTCTGTGGTTGAGTGTCAACCTATGAACCAGGAGGTCACGGTTCAATTCCTGGTCGGGGCACATGCCCAGGTTGTGGGCTCCATCCCCAGTGTGGGGCCTGCAGGAGGCAGCCGATCCATGATTCTCTCTCATCACTGATGTTTCTATCTCTCTCTCCCTCTCCCTTCCTCTCTAAAAGCAATAAAAATATATATTTTAAAAAATATATAGAACATGTCCATCACTTAAAAAGCCACTTGATGCCCTTTGAGGTCAACTGGGTTACCAGCTCCTTGGAAGTGTAAAGCTACCTGTTAACATCACACCTTCCCAGACCCACTAGTTCTATGCACAGAGTTGAATGTTAGCTGACGGTGACGTGTTGGGAGGGGGTGGGAAATGGTTAACTACATGGAGAGAAAGAACTGAGCGATGGAGGGGGAAGAAGGATATGTCAAAGGCAAATTCTGGGATTGGGGGAAGGACCGTTGGCCAGAGAAGAGGAAGGGAAGGGAGTCTGGGGCCCTGGGGGTCGGATTGTGCCGTATGGTATCTATAGTGAGTGATGTTTCAGTGAGGATTCTGAGCTGAAAGAAACCCACAAACTCAACGCAAGCTCCTGTAAGTAAAAAAGAGAAGGTATGTGTCCACCTTAATGGGAAGTCTTCAGGAGTGGCTGGATCCAGCAGCCAGGTGATGTCACCAGGCCTCAGCCTGGCCTTTCTCCCTCTCGGCCCTGTTTCCCTCGGTCTTAACCACTTCCTCACAGTGGAGAGCTGGCCTTCAACACCCCAAGTTGGCATGTTCCCCTCCAGTCACCCCGCTGGGAAGAATGCATCTCTTTCCTGGTTATGCCCACAAGGGTCCTGGGACTGAATCTCTTTGAACTACTCTTGCACTGTATGCTTAAAGCACTTACTGTGGCCAAGGGGTTAAACACCCTGATTTCCCAGACCTGGGTCACATGCCCACCTTCCCACCAATCACTGGGGCTGGACAGGGGCTGCCCCTGAACCAATCCCTATGGACAGTGACCTTGACTACTCCGATCGGCTGGTCCTAGGGCGCCTGCCGACCTGGAAGTGCTGAGTCATCCCCCTTTGTCCCAGGTGGACTGAGTGTGAGAGAGGGAAGGGCAGGTGTCTCCGGAAGGAAGCGTAGAAACCAACAGCCATTGCTCACACAATGGGCAGTCGGGGAAAGAAGATTCCAGAACAGGCACTGACATGCTGAGGACAGCGTTTTGGAAATCTCACTGGACAGCCAACCTGGTGTCTCCCTGCCCTCCCCAGATCATGTGACCCACGCCTGGGCCAGCCGACGCCAGCTCCGGCCCACTCCCCCGGCCCAGGGCAAGCGGGCCCCACACTGCTTCGCTCCCCGCGGGAGGTCTGAGAGCTGGCA